ACAAGCAGAACACTGTCGGGATGGGTCTTTGTTGCCAGGTCCAAAACGAGACGGTCCGGAGAAACTAGTGTTGCGTTTCGTCACATCACGTGTAAAAACCGGATTGAAATTTTGAGAGGAGCTCATACCTGAAACCTGAGAAGCAAAACCCATCACAACCACATCATTCGTCACATTGGATCGTATCGTTTCATTTTGAGTAATGGTTTGATAAACCGTATCCAAATCAGGGAGTGGAGTGATAGCACAAATCTGAGAACGTATAGCACCATGGGTGGAGTCGTCGAGACCAGAGAGGAAGTCGTGGATACGTAGTGTCTCCTGTTCCTTGTCAAGAGCTGTGTTGAGATCACACTCACACTTGCCACAGCTGCATCGTTTTGAATTCATACAGTCGGAGATACCATCCCAAAGCTTCGTGAGGCGTCCGAAATATTCATCCACCGTAGAACCATTCTGCTTGCAATTCGCCAAACAATTCCGGAGCTGTTGAAGACGAGCCCCACTCTTAACAGAAAACCGCTTCTTAATGATGTCCCAGAGATCCTTGGCTACTTCACGGGTAGAGATGGTCGACCGGATCTTGGGCTCAATGGTTTGCTTGATCCATCCAACCAACAAGTGATTGTTTGCAGTCCAATCTTCAAGTTCATGAGAACCAGCAGCCGGCTTTGATATGCTTCCATCAATGAAGCCAAACTTTTTCCTAGAGCTGAGAGCCATACGTAGATTAAGTGCCCACTCGTCATAGTTCAAGCCGGTGAGAAGTGGTTGAGAGATCACTGCCCCCGGATTGTCATTTGAGGTTAAATCGTAGGGAGAGATAGTTTTGTGTTTCGGATTTGTGGTTGCTAAAGCCATCGTGAGTACTCTGTTTTGATGTAAAAAAAAAACAGAGTAAGAGAAGGAGAACAGAGATTTGCCGAGAGGCACGAAATCGAGAAGAAGCCGAGAGGCTGTAACAAAGAAGAACGCCGAGAGGCAGAAAAGAAGAAAAGAAGGCCGAGAGGCTAAAGAAACACGAGATTCGCAAGGGCGATTTCAAAGAAAATTTTCGTGCTCTGATACCATGTCAAACTCCAGAATATATGAATGAATGACTTATCTTGCTTAGACTCAAAGGTCTTGTATTTATACAAAGAGAAGAGAACTCTCATCTAAAACCCTAGCTAAAGGAAAAGGTAAATATACAAAATAGAGATTTGGTTATATCTACAAGATTAGGAAAATATCCTCAAATATCCTCAATAAAAAAAGAAAATTAGGTATAACATGGATGAAAAGAGTATGTCAAGATAGCCAAGGAGACTGCCTGAAACCTAACCCGCAAGATTCAACTTGATTTTCGAATTATTACACCTTTTAGATGCATAATAATCCAAAACCCATGAAATTCAAATTGAATCATGGAGGTGAAAAAGATCAGGCAAGTCATCCTTGGCTATTAAACATGACTCTTTTCGCCATGTTAGACCTCTCATCTTCATCATACATTTCTTAACTCTATGTATGTATGATTCCTCGCATGTATGCGCTCTCTTTTTATAACCCTTGAAAGAAGGAATATAGGCATATTGATTTCTAAATTTATCTTTCTCTCTTTTCTTTTTTTTTTTGCATGGGATAAATATAGTCAACTTTGAATTCTTTATCACTGGAATATCCGAATATGTTCCTTTAAATGGACCATTTTTCGGGTCATTTAGATAATATTCTTGTCGTTTCATTCACAAAATTATACATTATTTCATTTGTGGGTGTAAGCGTTTCCACAATGTAGAAACTTTACGTTGTCAAATCATCTAGATTTTGTTTCTATAAAATAAAACAATGTACATTTTATGTGAGTTTAATTAAATCGACGAATCAAAAATGCAGATTTAGATGTGGTTATATCAATCAGTATGAAACAACTGTTTCAGTTTGTAAATTCCAACCACTACAAGACAAGTCAACATTCTTAACTCACGATAAACACTATAATGTTAAGTTTATGATTTATAGAACCGCACATATATTATTAGCAGATAGATACAGTCCCCTTTATCTAAGGGAAATGTGTAAGAAAATATGTTCCTTCGAATTGATGCTTCTGCTTTATGGTATAGGCAAGTTGTTCTTCACTTTTAATTTCCTCTAATTTAAAAAAGAAAAAAAAAAAAACTATTTTCCCTTTCAATTCTAAAATAGGAAATTATTAAATTCCAAAATAGGAAATTTTGATGCTATATCACCTCTTTTGGATATTAAAAAAGTTTGATCATCAAATGAAAGAATCAGAGGACCTTCGGACAATATAGCCCGATCAATTCACGCCTACACATTTTCTAAAGTACTCGATTCTCATATCTTTTCCATTACCTATCGTTGAGAATGTGATTTGATTTGGCTCGAATGTCATTATCATAACATCATGTCCTTTTAGTAAATTTTCACAAATATTATTTCACTGGCCCCGCTCGGAAATTTTTAACAAGCATAGTCCCGCAGAACAATAAATTTTCACAAATATTATTTCACTGTCCCCGCTCGGACAAGAATTCTTTTTTCTTTGATGAACTGTTTCGAGTTAGTAAAGATGATGTCTTCCCACTGCCTATTATTTGCCTTCTCGACATGAATTCATGAAGAAAAACAAAATTGGTATAAATATTGTTTTTTGTCATCTTCAACATATTAAATCAAATATGGCCTTAAGGGAGCCAAGATAATTAACACACGTAATTGTGTCTCAAAAGAGAAATACAAATAAGCTAGTCTATTCTCCTACCATTTGAAGTCTCGAGCAATATAAGATTGGTGACGGCCTTCTTTTGGAACACTTCGGGCAGTTGATCTAACACACGGTTTTGTAGATTTAGGTTCATAGATGATTTTCCTTTTCCCAAAATTAATTAAAAACCCGTTTAATTACATTCCTCCCAACACTATATTGAAAGGACAAGTTCTCTGGAGGATTGATCGCTCTGACGAAATCCCTTCTTGTTGAGGAGAATATAACCCAACCCGGTGTCATTGTGAGTAAGCTTAAGGAAGCACAAAGAAGACTTTGAATTTCTGCTCCATGGAAAGTGGTATTATATCAAGTCATTTCCCGTCCACATTTATACACTACTTTGATTTATAACCTTTTTCTTATATTTTGTTCCAATTGACAAAAACAACACAATTATGGCTATACAAAAAATTAATGAATTGAATTGAAAGAAAAGAATAATACACAAAAATGGTCCCTCCTAACTTTCCATGATTATGTGGGAGACTTTAGTCTCCTCTCCTTACCAAAAAAAAAAAAAAAAACCTTTCCATGATTGTGGCTTAGCTTTCATGATTAATGCAGTAATCTTAACTTTCCATGGTATGATCACCAAATACCATGCAGCACCATAGAGATTCCAATTATAGCATTCCAAGAGAATTCTAGGTTGCACTTGAACCATACCTTAAGAGGAGCTTTCCGTGAAACTCGATGGCGTGACTCATTCAAAGTTGGTTGGCTCATCAAATCAGGTTTTCTTGTCCCGCTATCTTATTTTAGATGAAGGTTAACGTCTGAGATGAGACAGAAGAACATATAAGGATAGCCAAGAAGACTGCCTCATGTCTTTTGATGAGTAAAATGGTCGTTACTTGATATAACTTATAGTCACTTGTCAAACATGACAATAACCATTTTACTCAAAGAAACAGGCAAGTCATCCTTGGCTACCAAATATGATTCTCCTATTCATCTTTGACATTTCCTTCTAAATAATGAGTACATACACCTCATAACCTATTCATTTATGAAACGTAATACTTTAACAAAGATTGAAAGTTTTTGAAGTGTGAATTTGTAGTGGTTTTGAAGACAGAAAGAAAAATAGGTATAACATGAATGAAAAAAGCATGTCAAGATAGCCAAAGAGACTGCCTGAAACCTAACCCGCAAGATTCAACATGATTTTCGAACTATTATGCTTTTAAAATGCATAATAATCCAAAACCCATGGAATTCAAATTGAATCATGGAGGTGAAAAAGATCAGGCAAGTCATCTTTGGCTACTAAACATGACTCTTTTCGCCATGTTAGACCTCTTTTCCTCGTTATACACTTCATTACTCTCTATACGTTTTGCCTTATGCCTTACATGCAGTGCTCTCTTTTTGTAACCCTTGAGAGTTGAGAAGGAATATGTGCATATCGATTTCTAAAATTATCTCTTTTCTTTTTGCATGGGCTAAATGTAGTCAACTTTATATTCTCCATCACGGGAATATGTTCCTTCAAATGGACCATTTTTCGGGTCACTAACATAATCTTCTTGTCGGTTCATTCACTAAATTATATCGTTGTCCATTGGTGGGTTTAAGAGTTTCCACAATATATATACAAACATCATGTTCTCGAATCCTCTAGATGTTGTCTATAATATTAAAACAATTGAATGCAAATTTAGAATTGGTTAGTTCATTTAGTCTGAAGGAATTGTTTCAAATTTGTAAACTCGAACATATTTTGAAGTATTAGGCTATGTTTTAATATAATTATGATTTATAGATCCACATATTTATTATTAATTAATAGGTAATTTAAAAGCTAAATAATATACTATAGGCAAAGAAATTTCAACTAATATATACATGCGCACTATAGGAAATGTGGGTATTAATAGCGGCCGATAAACGCTATTATTCATCTACCATAGCGTTTCTTTAAGCGCTCTGTCATCGCCCGTTATAGAAAGTCGGACACTTTTGATAGCGGTTTTTCGTTGTGCTATAGTTAAGTATACAACGATAGCGTTGTCTATTGTGCAATTGTTAATGTTTATAATAGCGTGATAAAGATGTTATTAAAACTCGTGAATTAGATTTTACCTTTAGCAAAAATAGCAAATGTTTTGTGTTATTAGTTTGTTTTTAAATTATTCAAAATAATAAATAATTACGAATTATTTTTTAATTTAAATATAATATTTGTAAAAAAAAATTAATTTCGAATATTTGTAAAAAAAAATACCATTAAAATTAATACAAAATACCATTCAAATTTCATTGTTTACAAAAACCACAAACATACCTATCAATATACCACTAACAAGCCTTCACAATCATCCCTAACATAAACAATATCATCATCAAAAGCTTCATCATCCAAATCATCGACTTCTTGGACAGGCAAATGTGCACCACCTAAATCCTCTTCTGTTTCCAACTCATCATAGCCTCTACGTGGTGCTCTCATCACAACATACCAGGAACAAAGCCACGTTCTGCAAGTTCTTCCATTTCAGTAAAGCCCTCAAGCATCTCTACCTGTTGCTGGTAATAATCTGCCACATTGTCTTCCGGACCTGAAACCAGCAAGACACATAGCTTTTCAATTCTCAAACACATCACAAGAAATCCCCAAAATACAGAACATATAGTATAAGAATCATACACTTAGCCTTATGTTAGCCTCCATAAGAAACTCCAAGATCCCAGCAGTGATCTCCTTACAATCATATGATGGTTTACATTTCCATCTCCACTCAAGCTTAGTCTCTTCTTTCTCAAACGTCCAAGTGAGCTTTAACCAAAACACAATCAAAGAGATAAAAATTAAGAAACCGTTTTTTCAGCAAACAAAACTTCAGAGAGTAAACTGAAATGATCAAAAGAATTAACATTTTTCATCAACTGATCTGTTTAGATCCCTCAAGAGCATCAGAGAAACCATAGACTGAATTAAGATGTCGAAACTCTAAGTACCTCTTAGCGAGCTCCAAATACACTTTGATACAAGCTTGAACACAGTAGAGCGGATATCACGACCCCCTGGTGATGATGTTGTCTTTGAATAAGCAGCAGAACATAGGTCAACCAGACCAAATATGCAGGCTTTAGCAGTTTGAAAAGCAACACCATCAGTATCTTGTCCTCTCTTTAAAGCTTCCACGCTGAAGTTATGCATGTCGATAACAGCTTGCAATGCATCTCCGACAGCAGTAGGGCAGTATAGTGCATACCGAAGAATGAGATCAGCCACAAGGCGCTTAACGCTAGTACAGCCTGCAAGTATAAGCAACTAACTAAATCATTACTCCAAGAGACTCCATTATAAGGCTTCTATTCTTTAGGACTAAAATTTTGTAAATTTCATCTGTGCACTAGTTTTCCTTCCATAGATGATTTCCAGATAACTACACACCACCCCCACCTTACATATGAATGGAACTACAGTCTACAGATTGTGAAACCCCACAAGAACAGGCTTAAAAGTAACATTAATGGGAAGGAACACATAAAAGCTGACACAGTGTGATATGGACTACAAAGAAACACCACAACCAGCATATACATGGCTTTATCAAGCTTCGAGAATGGTTGAGAAATCTAATTCCAGCCAAGAGACTATAAAACAATATGCTTGGTGATGTTCTAACTACAAATACTCGAATTGAAAATAAAAAATCGAATTCCATCAACTCCGACAAATAGCAAATAATTAATCATCCAATTGGTAAAACTAAATCGAACGAAAGAGAAGGGCTAAGAGTGCGAGATAAACCTCTGGAAGCGGATATGAGGGAACGATACGCTTGCTCAAGATTCGCAGAGCACCCACCAACATCTCTCTGACCAATAGAAGATTTGAGACGCTTATAGTAGTCATGCACTCTTCGAATCTCTTCTTTGTTCCTGCTTCTGGTTTGAATTTCCTCCTGAGATGGAGGCGACGGCGTCACCGGAGCTGGGAACGAGCTAACCACCGTAGAAGGGGATTGGGATTCTAATTGCGGTGGCGGAGGCTGAGATTCAGGAAGAGAAGGGCTAAGAGTGCGAGATAAACCTCTGGAAGCGGAGATGAGGGAGTGATACGCTTGCTCAAGATTCGCAGAGTTTGATTTTGGGACCTTTGATTTTCTCATACGAAGAGAAGAGGCAAAAGGAAAAGAAGTTTTAACCAAAAAAAAAAAAAAAAGAAGGAGAAAATCTTAACCGTTGGATTTAATTCATCAATGGTGGAGAATAAGCCAAAGTTCAATTCTGGAGGTTAATGCTCATTGGCTAAGAAAAAAACGGCTCAGATCAAAGTTATCAAGACAGATCAACGGTGTACATTAATCACATCAACAATAAGAATGGACGGCAGAGATCAAAGACGGCGCTATCTAACGGTGTAGGATTAGTCCCACAATCTGGGAGGTTACTTCCCATCGGCTATTAATGAAAAAATCAGAAAATTATCATATAAAATAGTTTATTAATGAAAAAAATAGAAATTATTTCTTTAAAAATTTAATATAAGTATTTCAATTTTTAGAATATTTTTTCTTATAAGTATAAAATTTTAAAATTAAGAACAATTAATATAAGTTAGTATTCCAACTATCTAACTTATATGTTCATAAACACTAGGGCATAGTTTAGGGTTTAGGGTTTAAACTTTGGGGTTTAGATTTTTTTACTCAAGTTAGATAGTTTTTGGATTTTAATTTAGGATTTTAACTTTAATTTAGGGTTTAAAGATTTAATTTAATTAGGATTTTAACTTTAATTTAGGGTTTAGGGTTTAGGGTTTAGGGTTTAGGGTTTAGGGTTTAGGGTTTAGGGTTAGAGATTTAATTTAATTAGGATTTTAAATTTCATTTAAGGTTTAAAGATTTAATTTAATTAGGATTTTAAAGATTTAATTTAATTAGGATTTTAATTTTAATTTAGGGTTTAGAGATTTAATTTAGGAATTTAAAATATGTGGATTTTAACTTTAACTTTAATTGTGCTTGCATTCTCAAATATGTGGTTTGTATCAAAAGTCAAGTGCATTCAACAATAGAAAACAAAGTGTTCTACATAACATTCTAGATATATAAAACACAGTACTTTAATTCACGATTACAATTTCATTATCCCGCTTAAACAAATTACTATTTACTATAGCGTTTACAATTTACAAAACGTTATCTTTAATTCACAATTCAGTCAAACATAGCATATATAAAAAAAACGCTATCTTATTGTGCTATTAATACCCACATTTCCTGTAGTGGCGGTTAACTCATTGTGGTCGATAAAATGTTCTCAATTTATTTAGGGCTTATTATTCTCACTACTTTAATTTTCATACATTTTCTTTTTACTCTTTAGATATTTGAAATTCAAATATATATATATGGTCCCTTTAGTCCTAGTGCAATGTGTAAAATATGTTCCTCTGAACTGGTGCTTCCGCCTTATGGTATGTGCAAGTTGTTTTCGACTTTTTCTCTAATTTAAAATGAAAATTTGTTTTCCTTAAAAATCCAAATTAGGAAATTTGCATGATATGTTACATCTTTATCATTTAACTACGTTTGGATATAAAAGGTTTGACCGTTAAATTAAAGAATCAGAATACCTTTGGCATATTTTTTTAGGACATTGCCGAATCTCATTTGAAAGTCTTCGATTCTCTTTTCTTTCATCCATATCTTTTTCATTACCGATTGACAATTGTTGAGATTTGATTTGGTTCGAATGTCATCATCATGTCGTTTCAGTAAGTTTACACAAATATTATTCACTGGCACGACTGAGGATAAATTGTAACATTATTCTTCATTATCTTTCCAATGAAAAAATTGGTATATCTAAATTCTAAAACAACTATACAAAAAAAAAAAAAGGATCGTCATGTTAGGTTATATACCCCAACAGTATTAAATATGGGCTAACTTTTAATTGGGCTAAAGCCTGTCACTTGCTATTAAATTATGGGCTAATTTTGAGTTGGGCTCGAGCCTATAACATAATTATTGGTTTATTTATCCCCAATCGTTAAAATATAGAGGTTGTTCTCTCTCAAACCTTTTTTTTTGGTTTAATTTAAAGTTTCTCTCAAACTTGAATAAAACGAAGCTCCATTCCCTCTTACAATTCACACCTTTCTCGGTCTTTTGGCTAAGGTCAAATGTAGTATATGATCTTATCAATTTAATATCTGATATATAGACTATTGGTTCGCACGATACTCTATTTTTAAATTACAAAGTCTCATTAAAATAGCTTATCTAAATTTTCGCGAGTGATCCATGCGTTGCGTTACATTATTGCACAGACTTGGCTCATTCCCACCACCAAATATAGTCCAAATTTTTATGTAAAGACAAAAATCTGGGCTTTGGTGGTCTCAGACAACTTGTCTCCAATCTCCCTCCATCTGAGTTTTGTTTTTGAAATTTTTCTATGTTAGAAAGATTTTTAGTGATGAAACTCTATCATATATCCAACACTTCCCCCTAAAAGTCATTTGTTTCCGTTTCTGCATAATTCCAGTTGCACACAAAGTGCATGCTTCCATCAAGTGATTGTAGGAAAGAAAAAAGCATTTGTTCACAAACTATTTTCTTTCATTTTTGGATGGATATAGTGTATATATATATATATATATGTGACAACGAGTAACTAGCTTTTTTGGAGTATCTTGTTCAAATTTTTGAAATATGGAGTTTTTTTGTATACTACTATATATTTTATTTGACTGTATGTTTTAATAAATAAACGGATATTGACACATATAGATGGTTTTCAAAATCATATGGATCTTGAGACATATGGATTTATTTGTACGTGAGATTTGGCTCACCTTGCCAATTAAAGTTCAACTAACGTTAGTTTGTAAATTTTGTTTTGTTTATAGAAAATTGAGAAGGCGAAACTTGTACGTCTAAATTTGTATATAAATTATAACAAGATCCAAAAGGTCATTTTTTTTGTCATGTTTATATTTGTTTCTTTTTATTTTTGCTCTAAACTCTCTCTTATATACAAGTCAAAAGAGGTGGTAAATATGGACTTTTATTCTAACTAAATACAGAAAGATGGAAACACAACTTTCTCAAATAAGCCTTGCAGAATTTTTGAAAGTGAGATATTGCAAATTAGGTTGTATATATCCTATATTTTTCTTTTATTAGCATTACTCTTATTATTATCAAACTTTTATTCTCATTTGATGTCGGCTGGTCGATTATAGTGTCCCACGTCGTTTTCATTTATAGGATCGTAAGTCATTTAATTAGCAAGTGTGAGATTACCACACATTCTATGATGTTATTATTAACTTTTGACAAAGATGTTAATCTTTTAGGTTGACCACTTCGTATCTTGGTCGAATTTAAATCAATCAATTTACCGATTTATAAGTTTGACTAGCCATATTAGCATATTGGTAACTAATTGATTTTCACCTGCTAAAAATAGTTAGTAAAACAAATTACTATCCACAAACTACTAAATTACATGTTTTGATCACTCATGTCTAGTTGATTTGTATTATTGTTATAATGATTAAATGTTATCAACTTATCATAAATTAATATCACTATTTTTTTTGGACAAACAAATTAATATCACATGTCCAAATATGTTTATTATTATTTGTTTTCAAAAAGAAAACAATAAAGTTTTTATTTTCCGCGCCTCTTTGTTTGGACGAGTTTGTCGTATTCTTGTTATAAACACAGAAAAACGGCAAAACTCTCACACAAATGGGGGTTACACTACTTCGCTCAATCTTCGGTCTCTGTGCCGTCTCTTCTTCATCAAGAGAAACAGATTTCTACTATTCAACGAGGTCAAATCTCCGACGCCGGACCTCCGCCTCGAAGCAACAACTCACGGCGATCAAATCCGTGACATCCACTCCTCCTCCTCCTTCTAGGGGTATTCGAAGTAGACGGAAGAATAAAGATGAAAACGTGGTGGAGAATCCATATTCGAAAATGGAGATGGCGGGTCCCGATTTGCGGAAAAGCTTGTCGGATTTTTTGGAGGAAGCGAGAGATTTCGTTGGAGATGGAGGAGGTCCACCTCGTTGGTTCTCTCCGTTGGAATGCAGGGCTCAAGCTCAAGGCTCTCCTCTCCTCCTATTTTTACCAGGTTCGTCCTATAAATATTCTTTCGCCTTTCTATCGTAATACGAATGAATTTCAACTTGCGTGTGGTGGTTGAGGATCCGGCTTTCAAGACGTAAACTCGCAGAGGTTCCCAGTTGGATGAGTTTAGATAGGGTGATCAGTTTGCGGTAACATGCAAAGATCATGGTTCTCCGGATTAGTCGGGCTTGACCTAGACACGATACCGATAATTCAGTTTAGTTGAGTTGGGATAGTTTCTACGGATTTGAACTTTTATCTCATTTCCATAATTCCACGGAACTTTGAAATGTTAACAAAACTGAGAAAACTATAACTTGCAGGGATCGATGGTACTGGACTAGGGCTCATTCGCCATCACAAGAAACTTGGGGAGTAAGTTATTTTAATTTTTTTTTGTCTATATGGTTTATTCATTTCCCTAAACGTTTGCATTAGCTTTTCCATTTTTTGCAACATTCACTGTATCTAAAAGGATATGTTTTTTTTTTTTTTTTTTTTTTTCTGTTTTTGTAACTTTGATTTTAGGTAGTTTTGAAGGATTGACATCTTAAGGGATCTTTATTTTTAATGTTTTGGTCTTTGAATAGGATTTTTGATATATGGTGCCTTCACATTCCAGTCAGTGACCGTACTCCATTTAAAGGTGCCTTTTTAACCCCCTTGTAAGCACCAAAATGGTTATCTAACCGAGAAGATAGCTAATGCCGTTTAAACCCTTTTGTTTGTGTTCAGACTTAGTGAAGCTTATTGAGAGGACAGTTAAGTCGGAGAACTACCGTTTCCCAAATAGACCAATATATTTAGTTGGAGAATCTATTGGAGCATGTCTTGCGTTAGATGTTGCAGCCAGGAATCCCAACATCGATCTTTCTCTGATCTTGGTTAATCCAGGTACACTAAGCTAGGTCTGCCAGATTCTTATTTTGTCGCTAAATGTTACGAAATATGTACATCTTTTTTCATCATAGACAGTTTTTTTTATTGCAGCCACACATGTCAACAACTTCATGTCACAACCTCTATCAGGAATGCTGAATGTTTTACCAGATGGAATTCCCACACTATTAGAAGACGTATTTGGTTTTAAGAAAGGTACACTTTTGTTCTTTACACATATTTTATCTTGAATCATAAGTTAACCCATTTCTTGAGTTTCAAGTTTGATCTTTAAAATGGTTCCAAGTTATGTTTTAGCATCTTCTTGATTTTATTTAGAAAGCAGTGACGGGCTGAGACGGCTATCAAATGTTATACAACATCAGTTTCATGTACATGAAGAACTTATTAAAACATGATCACAAACTTGTTTTTTCTTTGTTCCTGGGGGCTTTATTACGTAGGTGATCCATTGACTGGAATGTTAGACGCTTTGTCAAATGAATTTTCTGTCCAGCGAATGGGCGGAGTGGGTGGGGGGATGCTAAGAGATCTCTTTGCAGTTTCAGCTAATCTTCCTGTAAGTATTCATCCTTAGGAACTCTTGATCTATGCGTTTTACAGTTTATAGTGTATACATTTTCAGTTTCAGTTCTCGTGTTCATCAAGTAATATGATTCAACACCTTGAAAAATATATTTTCAGACTTTGAGTAGGATGTTCCCTAAGGAGACACTGCTTTGGAAGCTTGAGATGCTTAAGTGTGCCATTTCATCTGTAAATTCTCACATATACTCGGTCAGAGCTGAAACACTGATACTTCCAAGGTCCAATAAGTTTCTTTGTTTCAGAAATTCTGAATCTCTTTTACTTTTAAAGAGATGTTCTAGCTTGTAGCTAGCATAAATGTAATGTGATTATGAATATTGCAGTGGACGCGATCAATGGATGCATAATGAGGAAGACATAGTCAGATACTCGCGAACGTTGCCAAAATGTATTGTCCGTAAGCTTGATGACAATGGACAGTTTCCGCTTTTGGTAAGCGATCTCTCCTCATCCAACAAAGAAGAAAGATGCTACGATACTTTGGGTCTAATAATGATACTACTATTCAATAGGTTCTTGAAATTTCTTCATATCAATTGAGGATATTGATTCATTTTATAACCTACACTTCAATTATCTATTTTATATCTCATGGTAGGAGGACAGCCTAGATCTGGCTACTATCATCAAGCTTACTTGTTTTTATCGCCGTGGGAAGTCTCATGATTACATTTCAGATTACATTAAACCTACCCCTTTTGAGTTACAACAACAATTAGACGAGCACCGGTAAAATGCCTTACTGATTGCTATATCTTAGTTTTTCTGTATGCCTAGCAAAAGAAATAAAAGGTTATAGTAAATACTGAATGATATATTCCGCGATGCAGATTGCTAATGGATGCTATTTCACCTGTAATGCTATCAACTCTAGAAGACGGTAGAATTGTAAGGAGCCTTGAAGGATTACCTTCACAGGGACCGGTTGTATATGTTGGCTATCACATGATATTAGGATTTGAGTTGGCTCCAATGGTAGGTTTACTCCTGAAAGAGAGGAACATTCACATGCGTGGTTTGACACATCCTATGGTATTTATGTATATCCAAGACTCGTTAGTCGACCCGAAAATGTTTGACAAATATAAGTTAATGGGTGGAGTTCCTGTCTCCAATATGAATTTCTACAAACTAATGCGTGAAAAGTCTCATGTGCTTTTGTATCCTGGAGGTGTCCGTGAAGCCTTGCATAGAAAGGTGATGATGGAAATATGCATGCAGTTTGTGACCTTTTTGCGGTTTTCGCGATCTTCAAAATTTCGGTTTTAGAGGCTTACATCTAAAGAGAGACTTCGCAGGGTGAAGAATACAAGCTGTTCTGGCCAGAACAATCCGAGTTTGTGAGAGTTGCATCTAAATTTGGAGCAAAAATCGTTCCTTTTGGTGTTGTTGGAGAAGACGACATCTTCAATGTAAGCTTTCTATACTCAATTATGTGATCTAAGTTATATTATAATCCTAAACTCTAGTCTATTCCATTTCCTTCATGTTTAGCAAATCAACAACCAAGAATATATGCATTATGGTTATATTCATATTTCTACACTCCTCATTTCTCGGTTTTAAGTAACTTTAGTTTGGACATTGAATGATTCTCAGATAGTCCTGGATTCTAATGATCAAAGGAACATCCCTATCTTGAACGATTTAATGGAAAAGGCAACAAAGGACGCTGGCAACCTAAGGTGTTTTCATCACATACACACTCTATATATATACTCTTACAAGTAAAACTCATATGAACATTGATTTTGAACGTCATAATTGTCAGGGAAGGCGATGAAAGCGAATTGGGAAACCAAGATTGCTATATCCCAGGGCTTGTACCTAAGATTCCAGGGCGGTTCTACTATTACTTTGGAAAACCAATAGAATTAGCAGGTATATATGTATATAAATCTAAGTGTATGCTCTCTACTTCAAATCACTGACCTCAATACTTGCAATAATGGCGGGTTTTGTTTTCCGTGGCAGGTAAGGAGAAAGAGCTGAAAGACAAAGAAAAGGCACAAGAGGTTTACTTGCAAGCAAAGTCTGAGGTCGAACAATGCATTGCCTATTTAAAAATGAAAAGAGAGAGTGATCCTTACAGACACTTGTTGCCAAGGATGTTGTATCAAGCCTCACATGGTTGGTCTTGTGAAATCCCAACGTTTGATCTCTAAATTATAGTGTGGCTATATATGTTGTAGACATCTAATCATATGATGTTTAGAGGCTCTACGATTCTTTAGAGAACTAAAGATCTTTTATTTGTTCATGGAAAATAAGCAGACAAGCTATTTAACTGAATGTACATGACATGAATGTATCTATTACTTTCGTAAAATTTCAAGTTTTACTTTATTTTTTGAATGTATTGTTAAATTAGATTCAAAGAAATATTATCACAAATCTGATGACGTTCTTTTGAAAAATATGATATTCGTAATCGTACATCACGTGTGACATACTTTTGAAAATATGTGCATTCTTTTGGAAAATATGATATTCTATATCAAGTGTGACAGTCTTTTGAAAAACCTACATTCTTTAGAAAAATATGTATCATACGTTTTTATATTACATAAAGTGTGACATTCTTTTGAAAAATCTGAAACTATTATAAGAATTTGAGATTTTAGTTTCTAGATTCAAACCAAACTTGGAGGCCTTTACATGTATCTCTTATCACCAATCGCTCCGGTTTATGAAAGTTTTAATGAATGCAGTCGTATGTAATCTGGCTTTAGAATCAAAAACAATCATTTCAATTACCCTGTTTTTTTTTTCTTTATTCAAACAATTACCCTGTTTATAAAATGATGGATTCTTGATTTACATGCAATCAAGGTAATAGAGGTAATTTATTTCATTGCAAAACTAACAACCGAAGAAGGTTGCATATTGGATCTTAAAGTATGTAGATAGTTTTCTAAAATCAAATTAAAAATCTAAAAAATATAAAACGTTAAGAAAATAAATAGCCAAAGACACATACACACACAAAACCCAAACAACTTTATGATTTTAAGCTATTCGTTTGATTGATAATTTTAGGAACTGGCCTAGAAAAGATATCAATTGAAAAAAAAAAAATCTTATCGTGAATAGTTTATTGATGGCTTTCTTTTTTGGAAACTCCCAAATAAACAAAACATATGAAGTTTTAGAATAGCCTTTGACTCAGCAAGTGCCGTGCTCATTGCTCAACATTGTGGCAAAAAGGCATTTGCCTAAGGCTACCAACATTTGACAATTTAAAAGGCCACATTTTGAAAATGGTAGTTTGAAAAGTGTTCAGTGTGTTGATCACTACTTTGGATTCGATTTTGGGTTAATTGATTTTGTTTTTGTTTAAATCAGTTTTGGTTGAAAAGTGTTCAGTTTTGTTTAAAAGGAGTCACTTTTGAAAAGTATTCACTTTGAAAAGTGTTTCCTATGAAAAGTGTTCAGTTTTGTCTGTTGATTATTACTCACATGCTACAGCGGATAGTAGTGACTTATGAAAGTATGAGTTTGAATTTTCCCTCAAAAGGAATGAATTACATTATAAATAGATTGTTAACCTTCCTAAATTAAATAGAGAACACAGAACAAAAAAAAAACAAGAACAAAGCCAGTAAAATGTCGGTCTTCCTCTTTTTCCTCTTCCTCTTCCTCTTACCCCTTATCTCAATCTTCTTGAACGTTTTCAAACGTCCGAAATGGAAGCTTCCTCCAGGTCCAAAGAAGCTTCCCATCATCGGAAACTTGCACCAACGCGGGAAACTACATCCCAGGAATCGCCGTAATATCTCCGAAATGTATGGACCAGTGGTGCATCTCCAATACGGATTCATCCCCGTGGTCGTGGTCTCTTCGAAAGAAGCAGCAGAGGAAGTTCTAAAGATCAACGATCTTGAGTGTTGTACTCGACCAGAGGCGGCCGGGATGAGAGCAACTTTTTACAACTTCAAAGACATCGGGATGGCACCCTTCGGCGACGAGTGGAGTCTGATGCGGAAGCTCTCGGTGGTAGAGCTCTTCAGCGTGAAAAAGCTTCAGTCTTTCAAGTATATCAGAGACGAAGAGAATGACTTGTTTGTCAAGAAAATCTCTGAGTTTGCTACGAGACGATCTCCAGTGAATCTTGAGAGAGCCGTTTTCACTTTAGTCGGAAATACAATTTGTCGGATCGGGTACGGGATAAATCTCTATGAGTGTGAGTTCTTTGATGAAGAAAGCGTCGTGGATCTTGTGCTAAAGGCTGAAGCAGTCATAAGAGAAACTGTGTTCTCTGATTTCTTTCCCGGAAGAATCGGTAGGCTCGTCGACAGGATCTCCGGTCAGAACAAGAGATTGAACAATAAATTCTCGGAAGTAGACACTTTCTTTCAGAATATTCTTGACGAGCATCTTAAGCCTGGAAGAGAGAGCTCTGATATTATTGACATGATGATCGATATGAAGAAGAAGCAAGAGAAAGATGGAGATTCTCTCAAGTTCACCACTGAACATCTCAAAGGGATGATCTCGGTACGTAAACCTTTAGTCTTTTTCAAGTTATTTATATTCCACAGTGGTTAAAAAATCTTGCAACATACTAATAATATTTGTGACTTTGTGTTTATGTCAGGACATATTTGTAGCAGGAATTGGCGGAGTCGCTGGCATAACACTATGGGGAATGACCGAGCTGATCAGAAACCCGAGAGTGATGAAGAAAGTGCAAGACGAGATTCGGACAACACTTGGGGACAAGAAGGAGAGAATCAAAGAAGAAGATCTAAACCAACTTCACTACTTTAAGCTCATGGTCAAGGAGATATTAAGGTTACATCCAACAACTCCACTCTTGCTCCCAAGAGAGGCATCGTCTCATTTCAAGGTCCAAGGCTACGATATTCCTGCGAAAACACAGATCCTAGTCAACCTTTATGCGATGGGTCGTGATCCAAAACTCTGGGAAAATGCGGATGAGTTTAACCCTGACAGGTTCCTCGACAGTTCCATTGATTATAAAGGAAAAAACTATGAGTTGCTACCGTTTGGATCTGGTAGGAGAATATGTCCTGGGATGGCAATGGGAACCATGCTTGTTGAGTTGGCATTGTTGAATTTGCTTTACTTCTTCGATTGGGGATTGCCGGAGAAGGATGAAGCCAAAAAGATCGTTACTCGGGACGGTGAAGAGACTTTTCTTGCCTACTTTCAAGTTCTTCACCACTGAATATGGTTTGGTTATGTACACTAGATTCTAAGATAATAAATGACAACTATTTCTGTTGTATGTGTTTTGGTTGCAATAAAAATAAAAACTGATGGTCCAGTTGGAAGCTGCATAATGCATAATGCATATAGCCATATATATACACATTCACAAAAACAAAAAAAATATAAAACATATATACTGTCGTTGCTTCACTCTGTGATGTTGTTGTTGTTTTCACTTCAGAGATGATATGTCGGATGAGCCATTATTTGAAAATATGGAAACATTTCTAAATAGAATTTTGTTTATTTACAACTAAACGTCCTTACGATTTTAAATTTGGATTAAACGAACTGTTAAATCATTCATATATATATATATATATATATATATATATATATATATATATATATATATATATATATTAAATCGTTCAAATATATTTTAAAAGAAATTTTCAATAACCTAAAAACATGTTAATATTAGTATAAGAAAATATGAATTTTAGTTTAAAAGAACAGGAAAAATACAACTAAAAGATGAAAAAAAATAAGACTAAACAACAAAATGGAAAATATATTCCATTTACAATACAAAAGAAAATAAGTTAATGATAGTCGAAGAAACTTTAAGTTTAAAACAAAAGGGAAATAGTCTACTTAGCAACTTAGCAGCAAGAAGGAAAACAGAAAACGTTTAGTTTCTAAATTCTAAAGTGGTGATTTACGTATAAATAGCTATCTAAAACTGAGAATGAAACATAAATATTTGAAAGATCAAAAATGTTCAGTTCTTGTGAGCTCTAAACCTCTAACAGAGAACTCACATGATTGCAATGGCACATGCAACTTCTTCTCCTTCCACTCGCCACTCGCTATTTCCCTCCTTGGTTTTTGATGAGTTAGCTAAAGGTTTTTTAATAAAGGAGTGGATTATTTTCATGTTTGCCATTTAGCAAAACAGAAGAAGTTATATTTTCCCTCTCCCAATAACATTTGTAATACAAACTTTGAAATGTTGCATCTTGATACTTGGGGCCCATTTTCATGTTGCGAATTGGGAAACCAGGATTGCTATATCCCAGGACTTGTACCTAAGATTCCAGGGCGGTTCTACTATTACTTTGGAAACCCACTAGACTTAGTAGGTATGTATTTAATCTAAATGTTGCTCTCTACTTCAAATCACCGATCTGAATACTTGCAATAATAGCGGGTTTTACTTTTGTGGTAGGTAAGAAGAAAGAGCTCAAAGACAAAGATAAGGCACAAAAGCTTTACTTGCAAGTCAAGTCTGAGGTCGAAGAATGCATCGCCTATTTAAAAGTGAAAAGAGAGAGTGATCCTTACAGAAACTTGTTGCCAAGGATGATGTATCAAGCCTCGCATGGTTGGTCTTCTGAAATTCCAACGTTTGATCTCTAAATTTATCTCTTTGATTATATAAATTATACTGTGGCTATATATGTTACACATCTAATCATGATGTCTAGAGGTTCTAAGATTCTTTAGAGATCTAACATCTTTATTTTGTCTACGGAAAATAAGACAAGATTATTTAGTTAAATGTTCATGATCAGTCTGTCTTTTATTCCGTAAGATGTCAAGTTTAAACCAATACGAAGGGTTTTTTTTTGTTTTTTTTTTACTATAGAGGTTTTATGAATATAGTCATATGTGATTTGGCTTTAGGATCGGAGCACAAGTATTCAAACTACTCTATTTAAAATGATGGATTCCTCGTTTACATGTTATCAAGGTAGAGGTAATTCTTCATTGTAAAACTCACAACCCAAGTAAAGCAAATTAAACACCTTCAAAATACACAATGCTCAACAAGAAAAAAAAATGAAACACATGTGATCAAACCCAGCCAATGAAATTAAAGGTCAACTAACGATAGTTTGTGAATTTTGTTTTGTTTGTAGAAATTTCAGAAGACGAAACTTGCACGTCTAGATTTGTATCTAAAATTATAATGAGATCCAAAAGGTCACTGTTGTTGGTGTTTATAATTGTATTCTTTTTATTTTTGCGCTAAACTCTCTTAAATAGAGGAGGTGGTAAATATGGACTTTTAGTCTAAACTAGATAGACAGATGGAACAAAAACTATCTCAATTATGCTGGAGTTTTGCCTTAAATAAACTTTGTTACAAATTTTCTAGATGTTAGAAACAAATAAGGTTGTATCCTACATGTAAACTTTGTTCCAACTACTTTATGTTTTACAACAATTTTCACTGTTTAGTTATATGCATCATGCATGAAACATATTCACTTTTAACAGCCGGCCCAATGTTACGAGGGTCCTACTCAAGATTTCAAATTTTTTTTTCTTTTTTTTTTTTTTCATTTTTGAATGTTATAAACTAAATAAATAGGAGAAGTTCAATAATAACGATAAAAAAAAATACAAATCATCAAAACCAAATTTTTTTATATAACAAAAGTCTTTTCTACTTTTACATCCAAAGAATTCTCATAGTGGCGGCAAGTAATGATTATTTAGTTAATTAGTTTATTGTTAAACGTTTTGAAGGAAAAAAGTCTTGAGAGGGGTTAGAATATCCAGATTTGAGTATTATTTGCCAAACATGGATATAACCATTCCGGTTAGTCGTTGCTCCACGTGGAGGTAACGAAAGTTTGCTATTGCAGTGTGAAGAATAGTCATAATCAAAATCGTATTTTGCGTTTACCATTAGAGATGATCCAATGATTATATTATATCCAACATACACAATTAATTCTCATTGTGGTAGTAAGTAAAGATTTTTTAGTTTATTGTTAAATGTTTAACAGACGTGTGTAAAGTATAATAATCTAAGTCGATCGAATCTGGGCTTAGATTGATGTCGGCTGCTAGATTTTAGTGTCCCACGTCGGTTTTCATTTGTAAGGATGGAATTCATTTAAATTAGAAAGTTTGATATTACCACACATCCTATGATGTTCATTATATTTTATTTGGGACAAATACTAGTATATTAGTTTAACTTGTTAATGATTTAAGTAACAAATTGTTAACTAATGATTTACAACGAATTGTTACTTGATAAAAATTAATTAGTCAAACGAATAGCAATTTCTTAATTTAAATTATTTGGTAAATTTCTAATACTTCTCTTGTTTTCTAAGATTACAAACAACTCTTCTTATTTTTCATGCATGATTTAAACGTGAATAAGTGACAACATAGGTTCGCAACATTACCCAAATCATTAACATAGGTCCGCAACATTACCCAAATCATTTCCTGATCATTCATGTCTAGCGGATGTATTCTTATTCAAACATGCCTATTATCACTAGGTTTGTTTCATTATATATAGATTTATTTATCCACCAGTTTTGTTAATCAAATTATTCACCAATTATTACCGCTTAAATAAAATAATACCAATGTGACATGTCCATATTTATAATTATTAAATTATTTCAAGAAAAGAAATGCTTCAGTTTTATTTTCCAACAAAAACAATTCTTTTTTTTTCTTCTTGCAATTCAAGATGTTTTTTCTCATACATGATGCGAATTTAAAGTAAATGGTAACACAATGACGATACACACCCACATATCGAAGATCAATGTGGTATAGTGGATTTGAAATTCTTTTTTCAATCATATCTATTATCACTAGATATATTTCCTGTATTCTCTATTTTTAATCAATTATCCACCAATTATTACCTCTTGAATTGTAGTAAAAATACCACATGTGTCATGTGACATGTCCAATATTGTTGTTGTTTTTTTTCAAAAAGGAAATACTAAAGTTTTAATTTCCGCGCACTTTCTTGGCTCTTTGTTCGGAATGTAGTTTTTGTCGTATTCTTCTTACTATAAGCAAATACAAAACGGAAAAAAACAAAAACTCTTTCTTTTAGAGCTTCTCACAAATGGCGGTTACAGTATTTCTCTCCGTCTCCGGTCTCTCTGCCGTCGCATCTTCATCAAACCTACGACGTCTGACCTCTGCCTCGAATCATCGACTCACGGCGATCAAATCCGTAACATCGACTCCTCTTCCTCCTTCTAGTGGTGTTCAACGGAGTCGGAAAAATAATGATGAAAACAGAGCCACGGTGGCGAAGGTGGTGGAGAATCCGTATTCGAAAATTGAGTCGGCGCAACCGGATTTGCAGAAGAGCTTGTCGGACTTTTTGGAAGAAGCTAGAGATTTCGTCGGAGATAGAGGAGGTCCACCTCGTTGGTTCTCTCCGTTGGAGTGTAGCGCTCAAGCTCCAAACTCTCCTCTTCTCCTATACTTACCTGGTTCGTCTTCTAAAACTTCTTTCGCCTTCCAATTTCTATGGATTTAGACTTTAATTCCATTTCCATGGAACTCTGAAATGTTAAACCTTTTCAAGTTAAAAAAAAATGAGAAAACTAAAACTTGCAGGGATCGATGGTACTGGACTAGGTCTCATTCGGCATCACAAGAAACTTGGGGAGTAAGTAATATGGTTCCTCTGTTTCTAGAAAATTCCTCTGTTTTTTCCTTTTGGTTTGTCCAAAAACTTTGATTTTAGGTAGTTTTGAAGTATTGACATGTTAGGGATCTTTATTTCTGATGTTGTTGTCTTTGAGTAGGATTTTTGATATATGGTGCCTTCACATTCCAGTCAGCGATCGTACTCCTGTTAAAGGTACCTTTCGTTGCCCACCACCGAGAAGATAGTTAATGCGAGTTAAAGCCTTTTTGTTTATGTTCTGTTGTATTCAGACTTAGTGAAGCTTATTCAGCAGACTGTTAAGTCGGAGTACTATCGTTTCCCAAATAGACCAATATATTTAGTTGGAGAATCTATTGGAGCATGTCTTGCGTTAGATGTTGCAGCCAGGAATCCCAACATCGATCTTTCTCTGATCTTGGTTAATCCAGGTACAAAGCTCTCGGTCCATGAGTTTTGTCGGTGAATGTGACGAATGTTTCTCATCATAAACATTGTATGTTGCAGCCACACATGTCAACAACTTCACGTCGCAACCTCTATCAGGAATGCTGAATGTTTTACCAAATGATATTCCAACACTATTGGAAGATATATTTGGTTTTATTAAGCAAGGTACACTTTTGTTCTCTTCTCATATTCTATCTCGAATTATAAATTAAACCAACTAATGGAATT